GCCCCCCTCCCCCGCCCGGGCCCCCCCGTCCCTCCCCCCCATTCCAGCGCCATCCTGGGCGGCCGCGGGAGCTCGGGAGTCCGTCGGGAACCCCCCACCCCGACCCGACCGGGGGGATCCCGTGTCCAGGACATCCCTAGACGGGACCCCACGTTCGTCGAGGGGACTCTGGAGCCCGGGACATCCCCGAGGGGACCCCAGCATCCGGTGGAGGGACTCCGGCCTCTGGGACACCCCCAGAGGGGACCCCGCACCCCGCGAGGGGACCCCGGAGCCCGGGAGACTCCCAGAGGGGGACTTTCGGTCTCGGGGCTTGGAGGGGGTGTGGGAGCCCCTTGAGAGGGGTCCAGGAGGGCCCCAGACATCTGGAACCCCCCCATAGGGGACCCAGGCATCTGGGACTCCCCCAAGCATCCCAGGCCTCCGGGAAAACCCCCTGAGGGACCCCAGGGTCCAGGACCCCCCTCAGAGGGGTCCCCGGTATCTGGCCCCGAGCTCTCGCCCCTCGCGGGGCCGGGGTCGGGGGTCCCGGGGGTCCCGCAGACGGGGGTCGCCATGTGGCGCTGGGGGAGGCTCTGGGTGGTGGCCCTGGCAGCGCTGGCGGCGCTAGGGGGGCGCGGGGGGGGCGCGGCCGTGGCCCGCGAGCGCTTCAAGGTGGTCTTCGCCCCCCTGATCTGCCGGAGGACGTGTATGAAGGGGCTGTGCCGGGACTCGTGTCACCCCGGCTCCAACATGACCCTGATCGGAGAGAACGGGCACGCGGCCGACACCCTGACCGGGTCCGGCTTCAGAGTGGGTGAGTGGCACCGGGACAGGGGTAGGGACACGGGCACGGGGACACCGGGACAGGGACAGGGACAGCAGGACAGGGATGGGTCAGGGTCAGGCATGCGGCCGACACCCTGACCGGGTCCGGCTTCAGAGTGGGTGAGTGACACCGGGACTAGGGATGTGGACATGGGGACAGGGATGGGATGGGGACAGGATGACACAGCTTTGGGGTCGGCATTGGTACAGCACCAGGACTGAATGAAGCTGGGGACAGGGATGGGATGGGGTGGGACAGCAGTGGTGACAGGGTTGTGTACAGGGCCCAGGACAAGGACAGGGATGGGGTGGGATGGGACAGGGGCAGTGTGGGATGGAGGTAGGGATGGGAACGAGAACCCTGGGGATGGGACTGTGATGGCATCGGGATGGGGCTAGGATGGCACAGGGACAGGGTGGGACAAGGACTTTGGAGGGCCCTGCAGGGGGCAAAGGGTGTGCAAGAGGGGTCTGGAGGCCTTTGAGAGGGGCTTGGGAGGATTCAGGGGGGTTCAGGGGATCTCAGGGCATCAGGGGACACTCGAGGGGGTCGGGTCTGGGGGGGCTCAGGGGGTTTGGGGGGCTCAGGAGGACCTGAGGGGTTAAGGGGGGGTTGGAGGGGGCGGGGGGTCTCAGTAGATTTGAAGGGCTCTGTGTGACCCCTGTTCTGCCCCTACAGTGGTGTGTCCCCTGCCCTGCATGAACGGGGGCCAGTGCAGCTCCCGTTCCCACTGTCTGTGCCCCCCCAACTTCACCGGCCGCTTCTGCCAGGTCCCTGCGGGGGGGCGTGGGGGAGGGCCCCCCCCGCCCCCCCCTCCTGCACCCCCTGATGCCCCCCCTGAACCTCCCCCGGGCTCCAAGGTCGCAGTTTATGCCGTCCAGGTCATCGCTGATGGCCCTGGGGGGGCAGCGGCCCCCCCCGAGCCACCCCCTGGGGCAGCCCATGGCGGGGGGCACGGGGGGGGGCACGGGGGAGGGCACGTCAGCCACGCCACCTTTGTGGTGCCCCTGGGGCCTGGGCACCACTCGTCTGAAGGTACCTGGGGCTGAGGGAGCTTGGGGGTCTAAGGGTGTATGGAGAGCTCAGGGGTGTGGGGAGGGGATCTTGGGCAGCAGGGGGTTCTGGGGGTCACATGTCTGAGAGTACCCATACCAGGGGTCCTGGGGGGTCCTACAGGTGCCTGTCAGGGGGTGCTGGGGGGTCTCAGATGTCAGTGCCCCCAGCACAGATGCCGGGTTTGGGGGCCCAGGAGGTCCTGGGGTGTCCATGCTGGGGGGTCCCAGCATGCCGGTGCTGTGTTTGGGGGTTCAGGGTGTCCCAGGTGCCTGTGCTGGGAGTCCAAGGGTGTCAATGCTGTCAGTGCTGGGTTTGGGGGGGTCCCAGGGTGCTGGTGCCGGGTTTGGGGGGTCCTAGGGTGCTGGTGCCTGGTTTTGGGGGTCCCAGGGTGCTGGTGCCAGGTTTGGGGGTCCCAGGTGCCGCTGCCCCCAGCGCAGGTGCCACCGCCATTGGTGAACGTGCGGGTCCATCACCCCCCTGAGGCCTCGGTGCAGGTTCACCGGATCGAACCACGGCCCCCCGAGGGGGCCCCCCGGGGCAGTGGGGGGCTCCTGGCACACCCTGCCCAGCCCCCTGCAGGCAGCAAACCCCCTGCGCCCCCCCGACCCCACACCCACAAGCCTCTGGGCCGCTGCTTCCAGGAGACCCTGCCCAAGCACTCGGTGAGGGGGGAGCTGGGGGGGGTTGGGGACATTTGGGGTTCAGGGGGTTGTTGGGGATGCAGGGCAGTATTGAGGGGGGATGGTGGGCATGGAGGGCTAGGAGATTTGGGGTTTCAGGGCTTGTCTGGCTTTGCAAGGGGTTTTTTTTAAGGGTTCAGGTGTATATTTAGGGGTGCTGACCACCCCACATCTGCCCAGTGCAGCAGTTACCCCCTCCCCAGGCTCACCAAGCTCAATGATTGCTGCTGGGGGTCCTCGGGGGTCCCTGGAAGTGCAGGGAGTGTCTGTTTGGGTGGGGGGGTGTCAGGGATATTTGGGTTGCTGAATCCCCTACCCTGATTACCTCCAGTGTGGCAGCAATCCCCTCCCGGGGCTCACCAAGCTCGAGGATTGTTGTGGCAGCATTGGCAGCGCTTGGGGCCAGAGCAAGTGTCACAAGTGCCCCCACCTGCAGGGTGAGTAGGAACCCCCTGAACCCCCCCCAAACCCACCTGCAAGGTGGGTGGGGACTCCCCATGCCATCCCCACGCCCCTCAAACCCCCAGATTCCCCCACCCAGGAATTCCCCCCACCCAGATGTTGGAGACACCCCACACCATCCTGGGAAAACCCGGGTGACCCCGATCCAGGGGACCCTTCCTCACATGTCCGCAGTAGGACCCTCCCCCAGGGAGCCCCCACCCAGGCAGGGCCAGGCATCCAGGATCCCCCCCAAGGCTCCCCCCCCCTCAGGGCCCCACAGGTCCCCCTCACTCCAGGGGGGACCCAGGTGTTCTGCCGCCCCCATGTCCCCCCTGGTGCTGGGGGTGACGGGGGGTTCTGGGACTGTTGCAGGGTCGGGGTCCCCGAAGGCGGCGCGGGGGGAGCGCGGGGGCGACTGCCCCCAGGGCTACAAACGGCTCAACAGCTCCCACTGCCAGGGTACGGGGGGGGGGGGGCATGGGGAGGGCACAGAGGCGCGTGGGGGGGAACACGGGGGGGCACAGGAAGCATGGGGGGGGACGTGTGTGTGAATGTCCAGCAGGTGTGTGAGGGGTACAGGGGCTTGCACAGGGCCAGGGGTGTATGATGTCAAGTGTGTGGGTGGTGGGTGCAGGGCCACGTGTGATAGGTCAGGCGTGTGTGTGGTGGGTGCAGGTGTGTTCGCACGTGTTCACATGTGTCACAGATGTTGGGTGTGCCTTGCCCAGTGTGTGCAGGCATGTCAAGGAGTGCGTGGGGCTCAGGTGTGTTCATACTTCTATCACATCTGTGTCACTCTTGTCAGACACCAATGGGTGTGTCTTGCCTGGCGAGTGGGGGCTGTGTGTGAGGTCAGGGCTGTATGGGATGGGTTCAAGTGTGTTGTACCTGTGTGAGGTGTGTCTTACCTGTATCAGGTGTGTCCTACCCATGTCAGGTGTGTCATACCTATGTCAGGTGTGTCATGCCTGGCTCAGGTGTGTTCTACCTGTCACAGACATTAACGAGTGTGCCCTGCCCGGTGTGTGCCAGCCCGGCGAGTGCCGCAAC